GCAAACTAAATTCAGTCATTTGTCTGGAGGTCCTGACAAAGCAACATGTGGGATTTCTTCTGGCATTCTGCCAGAACATTAGTCACTTTAACCACTTTGAGGGCTGAAAACTTAATCCTTCAGCCCAAATAACCCAAATTAAGTTATTTTGGTATTAACTCAGCGGATTTTAGAGTGTACATACAGCTGTTATGAACTTGCTTTCACCTTGGACCTGGATAATTGATGGTATGTTTTGAACAAAAAGGTTATGTGCTGTAGACAGATATTTTGTTAATGTTCGTTTTCACACCTAATAATCCAGTAGACTCGATTCAATTGGGACCAAAACTTCAACATTTGTTGCATTTTCAGCAGCTTTAACACTGCGCTGCACTTTGAAATACCTGTTCACCTCCTCACCTGTGGTGGCGCTGCACCAAGAACTACTGAAGGAAACAACACGAAAACTTCAGAAGACAACATGAGTGCACATTCCTTCTACACAAAATGCAACAAACCACGAGCCATTCCTCCCTCTCGCAGGAAACTCTGATTTATTTTTGGTTGTATGTACCCAGAATGCCCTGCATTTAGTTTGCTTTCTGCTTTTGGAGCGCTCTTTGCTTGGCGTTCACATATGCATTTGAATTGCACCAGAGTTCACTTCAATCTAACCGAGACCCAGTTTTTTTGGTGGACCAGAGTTTGCATTTTTGATCTGCATTAGAGTTTGATTGCACATTTACACTTCCACAATCGAACCAAACTTTCTAGGCAAAAAAAGCTAAAGTTCAGTTAAAGAGAACTAAACAGAGCAGGTGTATGTGCACTCTGACGAGTGTTAAAAGTAGAGGTGCAACAATTGAAGTTCTCTGGCTTGTCACCAATCTCTAAGAAGCCTGACCTTGCAATTCCAGTTTTGGTCAATACCAATTTTATTGGTCTGAAAAGTTGCTAAATATTACGACAAAGTAACTAACTTGACAACAGTGACTATTGTTGACCGCACAGACGTTACCTGGTTTGCAGGTCAATCAATCAACCCCCTCTAGCAGCAGAACAAAAGGAGACAGTGATTGGTTTTCAGACCTTGATGGAGGTAGATAATATTGGTTGATAAGATCGACCAACATAAGTATCGGCCAATCACTGACCTCCTAAAATTAAATAAATCGTGTCCCATTTCTTTTACTTTTGGAATATCACCAGTCTATTGGTGCACCTGTAGGGAGAGGAAACTAATAATTTAGAAAGATATGCCACATCATTCAGTCACAGATATTTCCACATACACTGTATGTTTGAGGAAAAAGCTGGTTTAACCATCCTTCTATCACAGTTTCTGATTGGTGGGAATCTTCAGCTGAATGAAGGACCTTGAGTTTTAACATCTGTAAGCGTTCATTAGTTACCCACCACTGATCCAACAAAACTCCCTCACTCTGGATTCTTTTATTGGTGCTCAACCACAATCAGCCAGTTTGCAAACACACACAACACACACCCAACAACCACACATCTCTATATTCAATCATCTCTCTTCCTGGGTAATAAAGCATGTGACAAGAATGGATGAATCAATCAGTCAAGAGGAGTGTGTGCCTCATGAAAGCCGCCCTGCTTCAAACACAAAGACGTACAGCGGACAATGTGCACACACACCAAGCCAGTGATGCATGAGACAGATGAGCAGTACACCTGGCCACATGGCTTGTTACCAAAATGGAAATGATGCATGGGGAGAGGAAAAAAGAAACAAAACACTGCATATGAGTGTGTTATAGTAGCACAGCATCCTTCCTGTGAGGCTGTAAAACACTTGAAAAACTGAAAAACACACGCACGTACACGCACACACACACACACACACAGGAATTACAGTAGCAGTTAACATGTTGCTTTACACTGGTATTATCACACTGTGCATGGATCAATAAGTCTTTCCAGCTTCCCAGAGCACAGGATGTGGATACAGCAACATTCACTGACCTGCTGCTCGGTCAGCTGCAGCTTCTTTCCACATGCTGTTGGACATAGCAATGGAGCTATGAGAACATCTCTGAACACTGGAGTGATAAGGTGATTAAAGTCTTTCTTGTTTGGTCATTTATTCAGCAAAGACCTTGGGTGTTTTCACACCTGATAGTCTGGTAGATTTGGTTTTATTGGGGACCAAAATTGCAACAACTGGTCGCCATACTGCACTGTGTCAAATGATCCAAACTAATATAAACCCTGTTCAACCCCTCTGCCATGGTGGCGCTGCACCAAGAGCTACTGCAGGAAACGACACAAAAACCTCCAAAGAAGACATGAACGCAACTTCTTTCTTCGCAAAATGTAATGAAAATTGAAGTAGCGTTGGATATTAGCGGTTGTAGGATTTCTCTTTTGTCTTTGGTAAAAGACCACAAGCCTTTTCTCAAGCCTAGACTCTTGTGTTTGTTTTGGTTCCATTTACCCAGAATACTCTACACAATAGTTAATTTCCTGCATTTGGAGCGGTCTCCAGTCTGCTTGCATCAACATATGAAATTCAAACCACACCAGAGTTCACTTTATTCAAACTCAAGTTTTTAAGTGGACTAGAGTTCACTTTATTGGTCTGCATCAGAATTTGACTGTGCTTTCACATCTCCCCAAACGAACTGGGCTTTCTAGGCAAACAAACTAGAGTTTAATTAAAGCAGACTAAACAGTGCTGGTATGAATGTGCCAATAGATAATATGCTATAGACAACAAATAAAGGGTGGTCTTTGACTATCCCAATCAGTTTAACTGGTCAAGAGTGCTGGGTCTTCTTCTTCTCAACACACTTCATGTAGTTTTAAAATAGGATTTAATGTAAATCTGTGGACTGTGATGGTCTAAGAAAAAGGTTAATTTAGCCTCATATAATTTTTGTGTTAATATTTCTTCATCATTATCTTGCTGAAATACCCAGTTAGAACCTACTTTCAGTTTTCTGACAAAGCCCATCAAGTTGTCATGTAAAATGTCTTGCTATTTTTTAATCATGTACTCTGACACGGTTCGCCAGACCTTCGAATGTGGCCACCCACACCATCGGAGAAGTTTACATTGAATGAAATCACACCGCTGAGTGTTGCTTTAAACATGCCAAACCCATAGGAGGCAGTAAAGCGCAAAGCTATGACAGCCAATCAGATTGCTTCAAAACAACCACAACTTCCTGTTAGGAATTAACCTTGGCGCCAGGAGGTTCATTTGTAGCCTGCACTACTTTTAAGTATCTTACTAGTATGTGAAATTAGTAAAGCACAAGACAATGCCGATTGGGAATCATGTCAAAGGAAATAGATGAACATATTGGTGAATTGTCACCAACTGTAATGTGTTAAATCTTTGTTTTCCCATGTACACATGCAAACACAAAAACAGAGTTTTCTCAAATCTCCACTTTGGTCTGAGGTTTTATAAATATTAGTTCTAAGTGATATTAGTTTTTGGTGTGGATGAAAGCCGGGCTAAAATGAATAAAAGTATATTTGTTTTCCTGTATCTATGATTGTTACGTGCAGGTATGTGTGGACTAGGCCTTTCACTCATCTGACAAAAGCAAAGGGTTCTAGTAAATGTTTACATTTGTGATGGTAGACCAAAGACCAAGTCTGGACATTTTTTGCCATTGAAACAACCAGATGCCATATAGATGGCATCAAGTGGTTGTCGTAGAGACTTGGGAGTCTGTTGATGAACCCTAATTTCTTTTAGCTTTTGGCTAATTAGCTGAACAACAATGTCAAAAAGTGTATTTATTACATTTGTTGTTTTATTTTCAAAAAATTTATTTTAATATTTCACTAGCAAAATATATTCCCCCGTTGAACAAATGTACTGAAATTAAAGGTTTTGGGTTTTTTTAATTGTTCTGTTTATGTCAAAGCTCACTGCAATATGAAATAAATTTATTTATGCAGGTCACAAAAGAGACTGTGCAGACTTTCGCAGATGAAAAGCATGTGGTAAAAAAAATAAAATAAAATAAAAAAATTGGTCATGAGCCCTCTTAGCACAAAGCTGTGACCCCAAAATGAATCAGCGGTAACCGGGCGTCCGTCGGTTCCAAAATGCAGGGCTGTAATTGCTCAGCACCACTTGAGAAAAGGCTTGAGTAGAAAGCAGAGAATAACAACCATAAAGCAGCTGCAGTGCTGTCCTACATACCGTATCAGACAAAAGTTAGAACAGACCTACTTCCACAAACTCAGTACTGGCAATTGTTACGCATGCTAAGAGAATGTGTGATTTAAGGCAAGTAAAACATACAAGAAAAACAGAGGAAGCCACTGAGGTCCCACATTAATATGTAATACATCACTATCATTTCCTGCTCTGCTTTGTTACATAAAATCCCAATAAAAACACAGTCAAGCTTTTAGTTGTAGCATGACATGACTGCAAAAAAAAAAAAAAAGGAATTTAAAAGGCACAATCGTCAGGATTTACAACCGCAGACTGCAGGACGTGCACCCTGATTCCTGCTACAGCTATTATGTTAAGATAACCAGCTACTCATGCATCCATTTACATCCTCATATCATATTTATCTCCTACACAAGCAGATTAGATTCAGACGTGTTTCTGTTTTTCTCCCACAGCATGAAGGACATCTTCCATGCAAAACAAACGCTTCTTCTTGAAACGAATAAATAAAAAAAAATAAAAAAAATGAGTCACCAGGTCTCCAGAATACCATTTTTTTTTTTAATGAAAGCAGATGTGCTCACCAAAATGTCAGTTCAAAGTGCCCTCCAGGAAAACACTGAGCTCACCTGCTCAACAAGTACAGCTGAGCCACCAACTGACTCATATGCAGAGCTACATAATGTAACTGAAGACTACTCTATTATTTTAGGAAAACTATTCCTCTTTTATCACTTATTCTGTCAGCTAACAAATAAAAGCTAATTTGGCAGTGGCTTCACAAAAACGGTGCAATGAAAGCAGACAATGAGAACAGAGGATGGAGGGGAGGGAAATGACCTCCACTTACCCTGTTATATTTGAAGGAAAATTCAGCTCCTTCTGACGAGGAAAGTGCTTCCCGGCTTGATGTCACGGCAGTATTTTCCTCCCAAACGGCTTGTCCCTCATGTAAAGTAGACTCCCGAGTTCACTCACCTCTCTCTTTTTCTCTCTCTCTCTGTGGTGGAAGAAGATGAATGAACCGCTGGGTCTCCCTTGCCAACACATTTGCATAAGCCCCGCCTCTCGCGCGCGCTGGTTAGCCGGCGCGTCGCTGAAAGGAGGCTCCTTTTTACTTGATTGGACGAAGCAGCTTGTCAATCAGGAAGCAAGCTGTGCGCGCGGCTGTATCGTTGACCGTGAGCTAGTGCGACCGAAAAGAGAGGGAGAAGAAGCAAGCTTCAACTGCGGAAACAAGCAGAAGGCGTACTATGTAGTGATAAGACAATATTGCGACTTTTATTTTGCTTCTTATTTGAGTCTGTCACACGTGAATGTTCAAATAATTAAGGAAGTTGTAAAATCAGACAAAATATAACCTGAGAAAATATATATATATATTTAAATTTGTTTTCAAATAATTGTATTTATTAAATTGGGAAGGAAAACTGTTTACACCAACCTGATTCCATGTGAAAGAGTAAATACACCTCAAAACATAAAATTGTGCAAAGAATGGCTGCAACCAAGCACCAATAACTGCTTATCAGGGTCTAACATGTGGAGAGATTTATGTCCACTATTCTTGTAGAATTGATCAAATTAGCAACCTTGGCTGGTTTTTTAACACTAACACAAGTTCATTAGAGAATGAAGGTCACCTTCAACAAAATGACTGGCGGCTCAATGAGATTTAAGTTCTGACATGGCAGAAAACCACAAGAAAGAGGTAGACTTGTATGGGGTTCCAGTTGTGCCAAAAATATGCTCATTTGTCTATGCAAGGGGTGTATGCAGCATTCTTATGTAATGTAACGTGTTTATGTGCAGATGTAAGCTACGTATGTGGTGGGCTTATCTCCATGTGCACACTGAAAAAAAAAAGAATGGAGCTCCAACTTAAAAAAAAGTTAATTTGCTATATGTAATCAACTTCAGTTTGTTAACTTAATTTATTTACATTTGTTTAACATTACAACTTAACAAGCTTGATGTATTTACTTGGATAAATTTAATTTGATTACTTGAAGCAAATTAACTAACCTTTTGCTTGATAAATTAAACCATCATACTTTTTCAGGCTATTTTGTCTTTTATTAAAATTGATTTGATGACCTGAGACATTTAAATGTAATTACAACACAAAACCAGAAGAAATCCAGGAAGGAAAAATATTTCACTCATCTCTGACCATCATTAGTGATGTGCAATCTACTGTATCCACACTGTTTTCACCAACTTTTCCTGCTGCTTTTTTAAAATATATTTCAAAAAGTCGATTTACGAAGCGTTACAGATAATTTTTTACAGGTAAATCGATTTTTTGAAATCAGAAATATTCTCTAGTAAAAGAATATTACTGTATAAGAATAAAGAATAAGGATTCTTTATTCTTATACAGTAATATTCTTTTACTAGAGAATATTTCTGATCTTAAAGTGACATGCACATAGTTTTTGTATGAGAAGGCAACTTTTTTCCCATGCCATCTTTCATATACAATCTCATTCGAAGGGCAGAAAGAAGGATATTGAAGACGAGATGTTTAAAAGTGATTATCATCTGTACATGCATATATACAAAGAGACAAAGTAATAAAATGCATATATAAAACACATTAACAGCTAATACTATCTAATAGGAGTCTGATGACCTGAGGGTCACCCAATGTGGTTCGTATCTGATAAGACTTTCCAGGAAGGAGTTTCAGTTTCTCAGATGTCGAATGGTTGTCTGTTGTAGTTCGAACTATCGTTAGTATTTCTGACTTTAAAAAGCGTTCTTCTTATTGCAACTGGACATTCTGACAATAGCAAGAACATTTTGGATTTCCTGAAGTCTCGTTGACCCAACCAAGCCTAAAGAGCAAAAACAAAAACACAAAGGTGTTTCGTTTTCATGAAGGGTTATAAAATATCCGACGTCTTTTGCTACACAGTTGCCTGTATTTCCATTTTTGAATTCAAACATTCATATCAGATTTGATTCGAAACGTATTTTGGCGCTAAGGTAAACAGGAAATACACACGAGGAAATCTACAAGTCTTGATGCTTGACATAATAAGAAATGTACGGAGGAAAAACTGGGCCACAGGCTGGCTGGCACCAGGCCAAGATTAGTAAAAGCTTCTCGTTGGGAATGGTGCAACCTTCAGCACAAGGTTAATGTCCATCACGCTTCAGCAGCACTCCGTTAGTGTGTGTGTCCTTCGATCCAAGGTAAGCAACAAATCCCTCTGCAACAGAGTCTGATGGTCAGCCACAGCAAACAGTCCCACCCAGCTCTCACTAATATGAAATATCAGATGGTAGAAATTAAAAGGACGGTGAACAATATGGACATATGTGACTTTCTTTGTTTGCATGTGTGTGCAGTTATATGAATAAGAGGGGCGATGTCATTTTTCAGCGTATCTTTGTAATAAAAACATTGTCCTTAAGAGGAATATAATACATTTATGTATGCAGGGATGAGTTACAACCGAGTGTGTAAATGTTGAATACTGTAAAGCAAAGAAAGCCTACCTCAGCTTTACTTTAGATTTATCCTAGTCTGAATGCAGATCAGATTTAAGTATTGATTTCTTACATTGTTCTCTTCATTTATTAGTTTTTTTCAGGACAGGATACAAGTTTCTGTAACTAACACAGTAACCCCCCTGTGAAAGTCTAACCCTCACCCCCAACAAATGTTGAAAAATTCCAGCAAAGTGGGTGGAGCAAAGAGACGCAACGAGGCGTGGCTGAGCTGAACGGAGGAGGTGAGCTTTAAAACTTTGTAGCTATGTTTAGCGACTTTTTATCAGAAAACCAACAAGTGACAAATCTAGCATCCCATCACCTAGCCACCCAAGCAAAGCTCCAGCATGTTTGCTCAGCTGGTGTTACTACCTTATGCACTATACAATGGCTGCTGGGAAAAAATATATTTATATATTGTTGACTTGCCATCCAGGAACCACTTTCTGCACTCTTGTTGGTTGAGCAGGAGGCTCCACTTCTGCTTTTCAAAGAAAAATAATTGTGCCTCCATTTGCAACCAATTTCATGTGCAACTGTGAATTTTGAATTATCTAAAAATGTAACAAAGGTGTTTGGCATCAGAGATCACCTTTAAACAAATATGAGAATTCAATCGCTTTGGCACAATTTGAGCTGCACTGAGATGGTTTTAGGCAAAATAATGTGTAATTAAGCAAATTTGCACAAAAATGTCAAAATTCACACAGAAATGTAAAGAAGGATCCCAAAATGACCCATTAATTCAGTTTATCAGGAAAAAAAAAGTTTATTTCGGGGGTTGGTTGCACTTTTAATAACAATGTGTGCTCCTTTATCCATTGCTGTACCTTTCAATTTAGTACATCAACACTGAAACAAATAGCAACATTTTATTCACTAACAGGAACCAAAGTAGAATAATTCTGGGGTTTTAGAAGTAAAATCCACCAAATCCATCTGCATATCCACCGGTCAGCTCTAGCCTTACAAACTCTGGCTAGAAACTTTTTTTTTCTTTTTTTGCAAATATTCCAGAAACCAATCCTTCCTGTTCAATTAGTCTCCGTCTGTCTGCCTTTCCCTCCCTTTAATTCAGATATCTATTATTGAAACCCCAGTAATTGATAAAAACGATCCCCCCTCTCTCTCTCTTCGTCTAATTAAAATATGCTTCATTGGAAATGGCATGAATATGGCATAGGCCGCTCCCTCTTTTCCTCATATGAATATTTATGATATTCAGCAACAGACGGTTGCCATGGGAGACAACCCCACTGAGCATGTGTTCGTCCTCTCATCCCTCTGTTCTCTCTTTCATCTCCGCTGTCCTCGGTCACCATCCCGCCATTGATCTCTTCGCTTTGGCAGAACCCAGCGTTGGTTGGAGTCCTGTTTGTTTGTTTTTTTCCTCCCTCTCTCCTGTTGCCGCATGAAAAGTAGTATACTCTTGTTTTTCAGTTGTTGCTTTTTTTGTGTGAACAAAATGAGGCTGATATCATCTCATTCGCACAAACCGACAGGCAGGTTGGCAGCCGAATAATGAAATCCAAGCCTCCGTTTGCATACCAGGCTGCGTGTGTGCGTGTGTGTATGTGTGTGTGTGTGGAGTGTGCGTGTGTGCATGGAGTGTGTGTGTGTGTGTGTGTGTGTGTGTGTGTGTGTGTGTGTGTGTGTGTGGAGTGTGTGATTGTCTTCGGCGGCAGAAGCGGCCTGTAAACTGTCTAATTGACCTTTCTACACTCCACAAAGGACGGCTAAGCCGCCCGTCTCCTTCCCTCCGCCCGCCATTCCCTCCCATCTCTCCTTTCCTCCGTCATTCTCCCGCCGTTCCACCCTGACACTTCTAATCTTGTCCTCCGGTTCTTCTCACCAGTTGTTGCCATTCCTCGCTAGTCATTTATTTGCACTTCTGAAGGTTGGGTGTGTGGCGTTGCATTTTAAACCAGATGTTAAGCCTTCACAGTGCTTCTCCTTTACCACATTTTGCTGTGGAAACATTTTTTATTATGTCTTGTTTCAACACTTTTAATTCATCAATTAAAAGTCAAAAGTCTAAACACAACACCTTGTAATATCAGAGGGAATATTTTTCTGCATCCCCAGAACCAAAAGTTGAAAAGCAAAATTCAGTTTTTATGCTCTACAAATCTGGAATAAACTTCCATAAAAATGCAAAACAGCTGAAACACTGACTTCCTTTAAATCAAGGTTAAAACCCCGACTGCCTTTGATTAATAACTTGATCAATGCATCTCCTTGTTGATTTTTAATGACAGCATTTGACTAAGTTTGATTTATATTGCTTGTTTCATAATTGTTGACTGTATTATGACTGCAAAAACACAAAATCCTACCAAGTATTTTTGGTGTAGTTTGTAGTATAAATTCCTTAATGCACCTGAAATGAGACAAAACTGACTCATAAGTAACTTTTCAGCCAGAGCTTATTTTAAGTCAGCAATTCCTTAATATTGATTTTTTTAATAAAAAGCACTAGTTCCAGTGGCAGATTATTTAACTTAAAACATTTTTCCCCAT